AGTGAGTAAATAAAAAGTGTTTATATTTTGGGAAGGAAGTCTTTCTATATCTATGTTTATGTAACCTTCCTGTTTTCATTTGGATGAGTATTCGTCCTCATATATGTTTTCCTAAAATCATAGATCATACACATCTTGTAGTTGTATACTCTAGATGTCCCATGAAGTAATTGTAATTATTTGTTCCTTTCATTCAACGTTAAAAATTTAATTCAACTTTGTCTTTGATCATAACAGTTCGTGTCATCAGTAATTGTATGATACCATGAGAATTAGATGATACTGTAGAGTTTAGGCTATAATCAATTTGAAATTTTGTTAGTTTCTTTAATATCTTTAAACCATATGTAGATTTTAACTTTTCCTTTAGAACATAAATTTCGGCGTAATCTAACATAATAAATTTAAAATCGAAAGTGTTGTTATCAATAAAATTGTTATATTTATTAAAAATTATAATATAACATATTATATTAAAGAGATTGAATTACTAATATTTAAATAACACAATGCCACAGAAAAATATATTATTATAATCATTTTCAGGCAAGACAAGTCAAGACGACGTGTGTTATGTTGTCGCTAAATACGACTATGGAGCACAAGGTGCCCAGGAGTTAGATTTGCGTAAAAACGAGCGTTACTTGTTACTTGATGACTCCAAGCATTGGTGGAGAGTGCAAAGTGCAAGAGGCCAAGCTGGCTATGTGCCAAGTAATTATGTTAAAAAAGAAAAGCCATCTCTTTTTGATAGTATCAAAAAGAAAGTCAAAAAGGGCTCTGGTTCTAAAACTTTACCATCTAGTAATTCACCATCTAGAGCTGTAGAATCTCCAATAATGGCGAGGCGTTTGCCTGCTGATCCAAGTGAAGCGATAGGTACAGCAGTTGTCAAATACAATTATCAGGCACAACAGGCAGATGAACTGTCCCTTGTCAAAGGCACTAGAATCCTAATATTAGAAAAGAGTAACGATGGTTGGTGGAGAGGTCAAAGTGGCACTCATGCTGGCTGGTTTCCATCAAATTATACTCAAGAAGAAGGCGATGCAGATGATACTCTTCACACATATGCTATGGCGGAAAATGTTCTTGATATCGTTGTGGCTCTTTATTCATTTTCTTCCAACAATGATCAAGAGCTATCTTTTGAGAAAGGTGATCGTTTAGAAATTCTTGACCGTCCACCAGCGGATCCAGAATGGTATAAAGCAAGAAATAGTCAAGGGCAGATAGGTTTGGTACCGCGGAATTATCTCCAAGAATTGAGTGAATATTTGACGCAACCGTACCGTGAACGAGGAATGACAAGTAACGAGATTAGTACAGGCGATTCCCTTGAGAGAAGGCCAGACCCTGGTGATAGACCACATCTTGTTGGAAAACCTTGGTACTATGGTAGCATCTCACGCTCACAGTGTGACACATTGTTGAACCAACATGGTCATGATGGCGACTTTTTAATTAGAGATAGTGAAACTAATGTGAGTATAAATGAAAATACTATGTTTTATTAAACATAAATAACTATTTACATTTAATAAAACTTTATTTATTTATGTGACTCTAATTATTATGAACATTACAACTTGCAGGTGGGGGATTACTCAGTATCTTTAAAAGCTCCAGGTCGTAATAAGCATTTTAGGGTACATGTGGAAGGAGCACTATATTGTATTGGTCAAAGAAAATTCCATACACTAGATCAGTTGGTAGATCATTATCAACGAGCGCCTATTTATACTAACAAGCAGGGTGAGAAGTTATACTTGGTGCGCCCATTGCCAAAAGGCAACCCCAGTAGCAATGGTTGCTAGGTGAATTCGTGCCATGAAACGGTCCATGCGCTTTGAAACGTATCTCTAAGATACTTGACGCCTGCCTAGTAATATCAATATCACACATCTCGTATGTTTATACACAACAATTAACATAATTGGTGAACTCATATATTAGTGTTTCTTGATTGTTTGTCCATTTACACTGATAAATAATTTATTACTCTAAGTAATTGCCATCAGCAATTCTTACCATTCATTGGAGCTTCCAAACTATTTAGCAAACAAAACTACAAAGTTAAGAGAAACAAATAAAACATTTGTACGGCAGCTATACGACATTTGACTAGTGACACACAAGGCTTCTCTTTATATCCATATGTAATTGTAAAACACAACCGACCATGTTATTACGATTAATAATATATTTACAACTACACATAATGTAGACTGCAAGTGTAATGATGAAATAATGATTAATTATCATGCAATTATGACCGATTAAGTGGGATCTCTACTCTGAGTC